CCGCCGGCATGTGGGTATCTCAAACCATCTGCCTTTTCCCTGCCTTAGTGGGCAGGCAGCCAGGGCTCAGCTGTGAACTGGATTTTCTCATATGCTTTGTTTGTTGAAGTTAAAAAAAAAAAAAGACCCAATCCCACTGAACGTATCTTTTGTGCCATTAACCCTTTCTGGAGCTGATGCTTTGGTCAAAACCTGCCATCTCCCAGTCCTGGTAATGACAGAGATTCAGCTACGGCAGCATGCAGTTTAATTTTTGGTGAACTGATGTGTGTCCATGCAGTGAGCATGTCCTTGCAGAGGTCCTGTGCAAAGGTTGGTTATTTTGGAGGGGTCAGTACCCTTATTAACACTATCCCCATTTCCTGTGCCAGCCCCAGCACCTCCCTGCAGATCCTCTTCCAGCCCCTCTGTGGGGCAGGGGTTCTCTCAGGAGCTTGGGTTTGTGGGTGCTGAGTAAACTCCAGGGAGACCTTGAGAGCTTATTGATAGACCACATTAATGCCCCTGTGCTAGAGGTCTGACCCAGCCATGGAAGCGAGGAGGGGAATATTTGTGAGTGAGTGAATGTCCTTGCTCACTCAGAGAGGGTGAGCAGGGCATGGGAAAGGATGGTGCTGAGCTCCTGCCCGATGGGTCGTGTCTGGCAGCAGTGGCCGCTCCCACCCAGCCCAGGCATGTCATCCTCTTTATTTTTTTATCTGGGACTCTCTTTCTTTGATTTATTTCTCTCTTTCAGCCAGGAGGTTCTACCAGGGCAGTGCTGAGCTCCGGCTCCCTCCTTCCTCCATCTCCAGGGCTCAGGTGCTGCAGGCCTGAGGCAGAGCAAGGGTGGGTCCCCAGCCAGCCCGAGGCTTTTACAGGCTGGCTGAACACAAGTCAGGGTCGAGCATTAATGTTTAATGGCGAGCTGAGTGTCTCTCCTTCCTCCCTCAGCTCGGCCACTCTCACTCCAGCAGAGTTTGCTGGATGAGCCCCAAGACACAGGTGACTTCCTGCTCACATCGATGAGATCTCCCACATCCCACGTGCACAATCTCCATTGTGGATCTCTTTGGCTTGATGCTGCCCCAGACCCTCCACTGGTTGCCCTCTTCCAGCCTATGAGAGCAAATTCATTGCTTTAGTACTCACTTGACTTGCTGGCAGGCTGCTGCCCGCTCACACAGGCTACCTGCGAGTCAGTGCTATGAGCCCATACAGCTGCTCTTGCTCCCTCTTTGCTTCTCCCCAAAAAATGTGTTGATACCAGCTGCAGGCCAGCAATGCCTCCTGGCCTCGTGGTTCCTTGCACCCAGGTTTGCTGAGCAAAGCAAGTTGGAGGTGAGCTGAAGGAAACACAGCACAAAGATACTCCCAAGACTTGCTGGGAGGACAGGAAC